GCGGCGTTTGCGACCCTTGCTGCAAGGTGGGTGGGGTGTTGGTCAAGCAATGAAGCAGGTAGGAGCTGCGACAGAAAGGAAGAAAGGATTCCTGATGGAGGGAGCGGCGTAAGTAAAACCACCAGGGCGTGAAGGAGCTTTGTCTGTTTGATAACCGGAAATTGGTACCCTGGATGGAAGTGGGGCAGAGACAGGACAGAGATGAGCCGGGGACAGTGCAGCCTTGCAGGCCGCGTAGCTCCCTCCTGGGTTCACCTCTGCAGCACTCGCTTTCCTTAATGAGAAGGCTGCCCCGCCAAACACACACACACACACACACACACACACACACACACACACACACACACACACGCAACTCCCCTATGGCTCCTTAGTCTTCAATTAAGCTGTTTTCTCAACTTGGCCTCCACTCCCCAGTCCTTTCTAGAGTTTCCAAGGATTGCAAATTCAAGTAGCAGTACATAAATTGGTCGCATAAAATGCCAAACTGGTGTTCGAGTGGGGGCGCTTGTAGTTCGGTGGCAGAGACCCTGGGTCATCCCAGACACTGTCTGAGCCACAGCACATCTGAAAAAGTGAGGTTAGGGGTAGAGCTGAGGGCGTGGTGTGTGTGAGACCCCGGGGGCCATGCCAGCTGGTACCTCAAAGGACACTGGAAATCTGTATTCTAGTGTGAAATCTTCCAACTTTCAGATAGTTGAAATCAGTTCCCAAAATTTAGAAATACTGAATGGGCCCAAAGAACTACGTCCTGGGAACAAATTCGGTTGGCAGCTTCCACCATTGAGAACTTCATCTTCGTCCTGTCTCTGTAGAGACTCATTTTTCTAAAACCCAAGTAAGTCGTTTTTGGCCATCAGCTTGTAAAGAACGAATCTGGTTGTTCCCCTATATGAAACTGCAAAGGACTCCCCGGTTCCCTCCGGGGCAAGGTCTGCCTTCCTTGTCTCGGCGTTCAAAGGCCTAACTTTTGGAGCCCACTGGCCAGGCCTGTGCTGAGAACCTCTCTTCTCCATGCAGCCCTGGTCTTGGCCACGTGGTTTGGGAGCACATGCTGTCTATGGCTCTGAAACATCTGTCCCCTTTGCTTCGTTTTCCCAAACAAGTTATTCTGCAAAGTAAGTCCTCCATGGCTGCTCTTCCTCTCCCATGCTCCTCCTGCCAACATCAGGAGTTTCAAATTCTTCTTATTCTACCTTGGGCAGACTCCCCACCCCACCCCTACCCCCAAAGATGGAGAGGCTTGAGTACAGCAGAAGAGGACTGGAGAGGGAGGAAGAAGGAATGCTTTCACGCATTGAACCGCTGAGTCTCAGAACATTAAAGCCTAGAGAGGCACAGATGATGAGGAAACTGAGGCTGAGAGAGAGGCGGCCGTGGAGTCAGGCCTTGATGCACTCCTGGCCATGGTCATTGCTAGTTTGATTATGAAATGTCCCTCGGGCAGCTAGATGTGGTAGTGCATGCCTGTAATCCCAGTCCCTGGGAAGCTGAGGCAGGAGGAGCCACCAAGAGTTCAAGGCAAGCCTAGGCTCCATAGCAGCAAGACCCTGCCCCCCCACACACACAGAAAAGAGAGAGAGACAGAGACAGAGACAGAGAGACAGAGAGAGATATCGATTGATCAGGGCATGTGTATTAAAGGCTTTGTTCTAAGCTTGACCCAGTGGAGGATGATGGTGACTTGTAGGAGACAGAGCCTAATGGGAGATTTTAGACCCCTGAGGGTGTATGCTTGGAGGAGACCGTGGGGTCCCGGAGCCTTCCCCTCTCCTTTTCCTTCCTGTCTGTGTAGCAAAGGGGCTTCCTTGGCCATGTGCTTCTGCCTCAGTGCACTGCCTCGCTGCAGGCCCAAATGTAGGAAGACCAACCCAATCATGGCCTGAAATTTCCAAACTCCTGAGCCAAAATAAACCTTTATCAAAAATTGATTACCTCACATATTTTACAGTAACAAAAAGCTAAAATATCAGTAACTCAGTTTTTCCTTTGTTCTGGTCCTGGGGAATCAAACTGGGGACCTTGCACTTGCCAGGCAGGCACTTATGCTGCTGAGCTATATTCCTGGCCCCTCAGTGACTCAATTTTAAATGGATCATGATGCACTTATCAGGGCTACTCAGCTCAAGGCCACTGTCTGCAGAAAGGTTCCTGATTCCTGAGCTGAGGCTTTGGTTACCCATAGTGCAGTTAGCCAAGGGTTTTGTCAGTGCAATGTGAGGAATCAGATCCCATCCTCCTTCTCAGCTCTGCAAACTGGGACGTCCTGGTACCCCACAAGGAGGTTCTCTTAACAGTTTTGCTACAGAACTCTGTGTTCTGGGACCGGAATCGGAGAACAGAAGTCACCATCCTCGCTGAAGAGGGCAGAACGGCCGGCCGTTCTGAGGGGGAAAAGGAGGAATAGACGCAGATCCAGTGACCAGACCCGTTGGTTATCACCAGTAGCTCTGTGCCGTTAGTGCTGAAGGCTTGGGTTGTACCATCAGCTACCTCGCAGAGGCCCACCATGGTGAGCTGCTAGTGATGCACAGCCCGGTGGTGGGGCGCTTGCCTAGCGTGCGTGAAGACTTGCCCCGTGCTGCAGGAAAACAAAACCCTGACAAAGTGATGTGGGGGCTGGATAGCATCAGATGGACATGGAAGCAGAAGGAATGAGAATTGGCCGCCTGCCCAGACAACCAGACAAGGGGCAGAGGAGTGGTAGTTTGTTTTCCTAACCTCCCTTCTCAGAGTTTCCCCCTGGAGAGAGAGAGAGGCTTACAGTATCCACAGAATTGCTGTGTAGGGCAAGGGGTGGAATGTGGCGGCCGTGAACTCATCCTGCTAGGAGCAGCATACTGAGGCAGTGGGGAAACCCATCCATGTTCACTAAGGACATGTGCATTTGCTTGCCACAAACTGACTCCAGCCAAATGCACCTGGCCTCTGGAAGACACAGAGGATCTCCTGGTGGGTGACTTTTGATCCAGGACTCCCTGTGGCTCGAGTGAAAAGTTCTTAGCGCTGCACTGCAGTCTAAGGATCTTCCTGTCCGCCTTCCTTCCTTCACTCTGCCTCCCCAAGTGCGGATCTGTTTCAGATCCAGTCCTTTGTCCTTGACTCCTAGGGATGAACTGCCTGTGCAGGCTCAAAGCTGTTTCCACAGCGTGGCTGCCTTTCCAGAGAGCCTTGATGGGCACAATCTGGAAATCAGAACACGAAGATAACACTTGGCGTTGATTTCCACAGCTACGAAGAAGAATCGTGGCGAAACACACCATCTCCATTTAGATTTCTTCTGCCTGGCATATGCAGTCCTTGATGACAGCGTAACTTCACGCACGTAGGCAACTAATGACTGTTTCCCCGCACCAGGTAACACCGAGGCCAGGAAGTTCCGATCATAGTGTATCTTTCCTGTGGCTGCATTTTGTATTCACTGATGGGTCGGGTGTCTGGTCCTGCTGGGGTGGAATGAAGAAGGGTCACGAGAGGTTGTCCATCTCAAACTGCAGAGTTTGAGTAATTCAGCCAACTGTACCCTCAAGGCTCGTTATTAGCAGTCTCCACGCTAGGAGAAATTAAGGCATCTGGAGACTTTCCAGGGTGTTCTGTGATGTTCCTTCTTGCTTATATTCCCAGTCAGGACAGATACGTGTTCTTCGCTTGCTGTTCTTCCTGACGACCGTCTCAGTACACGGGAAGAACCACTTCCCCGGGTGGCCCCCATCAGCCTGGGGACACCGGCGCTGGTGACCCACTCACACAGCTTGATAGATCTGAGAAGGACCTCGGTGGCATCAGCTCAGGGAGCTGAGCAGGTTTGAGATGACAAATGGGATAATACCTTGGCGAAGGTACAAAGGCCACTCGCAGCTTGGAGCAGGAGCACCCAGACCTTCCAGATGACAGAGGTCAAGTGACTGCTGACAAAGAAAGACAGGTGACCCGGCAGAACCTGGGATGGATCAGACGGAGACCCGGCAGCAGCAGAGTGTACAGCAGCTGGAGGTGGCGGATCTTCGGCTTTCTTTTTGAAGCATATATTCTAGAGCGAGAAGCACAAAGTTCCGGCAAGGATGCTAATGAGCGCCTCCCGCTCCCCACGTGGAAATACAACTCGGTGGCCGTGGGTGGCCGGCAGGATGCCGCTGCCACTGTGTGGCAGCAGCAGAGGAAAGCCAGCCGTCTCTCTGTGGCCCCGCAGGCCTGCTGGGCTGTGCTTGCTGCCACTTTGAGCTGGGAACTCTGCTCCTCGTCACTGAAAGTATGCCAAGCCCCATGAGAAGCCGAACTCTACCAGCAGGCGAGCGGCTACGCCGGGGACAGAATCCAGGAAATGGGACTGGGAGGGGGA